AGATATTTGAGAGATACTATGGATTGGTGTTTGTATTTTAATAATTTTTTTGCTGTTTTAGAAGGATTTTGTTATGCAAATTGGGTTACTGACAATGATGAAGTTAGCTCCACTAGTGGCTATGTGTTTACTTTAGGTGCAGGTGCTATTTCATGAAAGTCTTCAAAACAAACTTGTATAGCACGTTCGACCATAGAATGTGAATTTATTGCTCTTGAGTTAGCAAGGCAAGAAGCTGAATGGTTGAGAAACTTATTGGCAGACGTGCCTTTGTGGGGAATATAAACTTCACTAGTATCTTTACATTGTGACTCACAAGCGGCAATTGGAATTGCCAAGAATAGTGTGTACAATGGAAAAAGAAGACATATTCGCATTAGACATGGTACGGTGAAACAATTATTAAAACATAGTGTTATTTCCTTGGAATATATAAGGTTCGAAAGAAATTTGGCGGATCCTTTAACCAAGGGTTTGGCAAGGAGAGTTATCCTTGAAACGTCGAGGAAGATGGGGCTAAAGCCCATGGATGGATTGAGGAAGTATGGTGGATACCCGTTCGTGGTCAAACGAAGCCATATGAGACTTCAATATGCACTATATTTCCTATCCCTATGATGTGTAGTAGTGCTTTATAAGATTGAGCCTATTTTGCTCTTAATGATTCCATTCTTAAGGTGGTCTATATATTGATAGACTTGATGGAATCACCTAAGTGAGTGTAAAGGTGCGGTCGCCTTTTATGAAATACTTGGGATGTCTTTCTAGAGCACTCATGAGACCCAAGGTGTGTGCATGACCATAAAAGCACTTTATTAGTATCGCGGAGTTTGCATAAAATTAAGGATATAGCATGTGTATTGAGGGTCTCAACTCATGTCCATTCAGTTCAAGAGTACTTCACTTTGTGGATATTAGTCGTTGCCTCATTTCACTACGTGTCAATTCAAATCAAAAGATACTGACACTTAAGTACATGTTCCTTCCTTTTGCCCAGGAATTATTCTTATTCTTTATCTTTGCATTAGTGGGGGATTGTTGGTATTATTCCTCTTTAGGCGTTACTCTAATTTGATAATGCAAAGAATAAAGAACACTTTTAATCTACAATTAATCATTGGTTAATTGTCATACCTCTTCACCATTAATTTATTATAACATTTCTAGATTTTATGTATATGCAAAGTGGGAGAATGAAGTTACTACTTCATAAATGGTTCACATTCATTCATATGACAGTTTCTTAACTTTTGTGACTTCGTTTGTGAAAAAATACAACTTTTCAGAAGGTTTGAAGTTACTGTCTTTATAACAATTTTGTCATTAAACCAAAATAAATGTTACATTATATTAACTCACATTTGGCCTCTTACGATTTTCTGATGGAAGAAAACGTAAATGATTTGCCTATATAAACATCATCATTTGTGAGCTAAAACACCAACCAAATATATTATTCTCTCATCCTCTCAAACGACTATTCTTCTTCCTATTTTTCCTCGACAATTCTTTTTTGCAAACTCCAAACTTCCAGCCACGAGTGCACGTGTTTGGAAGTACTGTGGAATCTTGGGGAGCGACCGGTCTTAACGATTTGCACTCAGTCAGACCGAAATCGCTTTCAAGGCACTGCCTTGCCACGACACAATATTTATTCGATAAGTTATTTCTATTATTGGTCAATATTATCTACTATTTTTCTTACAGACAATACATTAAAAGTCAAGTTGTGCCCCCTAAATCGACCAAATATAAAGNTATATATATATATATATTTTCTGAAATTACCGAGGGTCGACCCTCCTATCCTAAGAATAGGTCCACCTATGCTCTCCACCTTCCCCTCAAGACAACCCGCATTTAAAAAACAAGACAAATATATCCATAAGGAAAATGGATTGTTGGATTAAGCACCTCGACGCTTGGGATTGGACATTTTGAGCGGCTTAATTACTCAATATATAAAAATTAGATCATAAGATGAAAATTGTAGCATATAAGTAGACGACAACCAATTCTCTTGACGAATTGAGACACTACCAAATAGCCCTTGGTCGGCAAGCAGGGATGGACACGGTCTCCTAGTTGCTTTAGGGCTCTTCTATATAGTAAAATAAAAACTTAACTACACAGAATAAGGACAACTTACTTGAGGACCGTACAATTTGGATATACAAATATATATCCGAGCGTGATCTCACGAGTGTCTGAGAATGATGAGATGTACGTGATCTTGCCTCTATCTTATGTGATAGAGAAACTGTTTCAAATAGACCATTGACTATAAGATATATAGTGATAAAGAAATGTTTATATTACATTTTGTCGAAGAATAAAGATTAAGTGTCTAAAACCTTAAGTTTTCTTCAAACGCTAAAAGAAAGTTACGTTTTCTTCAGTTTTAAAATACAAGTTGGTGACCTAATATGGTATTCCGCAAGTATGATTATAAAGTCTCTTAATTTTATATAGTTATTGTCATGTGAAAAAAATTAAATTCCGGTTTTTGCGGCTTAGTAGATTAACTTAAGCTAATCTGCCTGATTTCTTTCTCTTACCAATTTCAGAAGGAGATCGACATCAAATTCATTGTATTTGACCTAATTAAAAATTTGCTTCGGACATACAATAAGAATCTTTTGTTCTTTCTTATCACAATATTGACAAAAAGTTGCTCATTTTTTTCAAAAAATTGTCCAAAATTTCATTTTCGGTCAATTGTTATTTTATTTTGAGATTGAATAAAGGAGATAAATAAGAAGATCATTTTCTTATAAAGGAAATATACGTCGAGAGAGAAGTGATCATAAGTTACATTACTGTACTAATATGATATTAATGAGAAAAGAGGCCACATAAGAGAGAGAACAGCAACATATCCGGTATAATCAGTGGCGTACGCAGGATTTTTTGTAAGGGGTGACACTATTTGAATAAGTGAACATAAATAAATCAGTATAACGACAAACTGTGTCATTTTTTATATTTATACATAATATTTTTATTTATTTTTATTATTTATACATATATATTTACGAAAAAATTTGAGGAAGCTTTGTCACGTGACACTGCTTGAGATACGGCTTCTAATCCCAAAAATAGAGTCCGAAAAAGATATAATGTACGTAAATCTTACCCCAACCTTATGCAAATTGAGAGATTTTCTGATAGACTTTCGGTTAAAAAAAGCAAAACGAAGTTCAAAGACAAGAGAGAACATAGAAAAGAAAAACTTGTGACGAGGGGCATCATTGCTAGAGAACATCGACCTAAAATGCACATGATTACTCAAAATTCTCTTGGAAGTAGGACCAAATTATTAGTACATCACGAATACCAGATCCAAAACTATCGTTATAAGTGTATTAAATATTAAAAAGCAACATTTACCCGAATACTTTTGAAATAATATTCTGCAAACATTAGGAAATTGCACCACATTGTTTAGGTATTACTTACAATATTAATTAGTTTGGCATAGCCATTGGGGTTTATCCAAGAAAATAGTAAGTAAAAAAGCGTCATTGTCATTTTATGTATTGATAATAGGAAATAAAACTTGATTTTCGAAACCTTAGAGATAAAAATTCGCCATTTCTGTAATACAGAAATAAATCTATCCATTTTCATCGTCTTAAGGAGTAAAAACATATAATATATTTTGATATATTTATTTCTGTTTGGACGTTACTAATTATGCCTTTTAATTACTAACCCTTCAATTGAGAGTTATACATCTATTTTTCAATTAGAAATATTACTAATTTACATTTTAGGAACATGAGATTAGTTTGAAGCAAAGTCAAATAATTACAGAATAACATTTATCGAGTTTTAGTCCAATAATTACAAAGGGAAAATTATTTCAACAGTTTAACATTTCTAATGATCATTAAATGGCACAATAGTTTTCTTAGACAAATATCATCACATAGTAAAATGGACGACATTGCACCAATTGATTCCTATTCACATGAATCAATGAATCCAAGGCGATCATCACAACCAAATAAAGTAACTAATGACCAATAATTACTCATATAATCCAAGAAAAAGCTTTGTATATACCAAAAATATTTACCTAACTTTTTATCCATTGTTAACCTTTGATTAGGGAAAGTAAAGCTTTTATTGTCTTGGTATATTGAAGAAAAGAACAAACACCAATAATTGAGTTTTGAGATTATGATAGTTGGATTTAAGTTAAATTTTACACTGGTCACAAATAGGAATGAACTTCAATAGTACTAATATATATCAATCCACGAAAATTAGGTACTAAATATTTTCACACTCTAGAAAAACTTGACGTCTTCAAAGATCATCTATTAATTCTACATTCATATATTCATATAGGATACTTGCATTAGGATAGACTATATACTTCACACCCCCTTGAGATGCAGTCTTTCTCCTGATCCTGTATGAACGCGGGATACTTCATGCACAGAGCTGCCATTTTTTCCTCATCGAATCAAAAAGAAATTCTACATTTGATATAGGACCCGTTTGTCCATAAAATATTTCCTTTTTTTCGATTTTTTTTTAAAAATGTGTTTGTCCATGAAATTTTGCAAGTTTTTGAAAAAATTTCAAAAATAAATTTTTCAAAATTTCAAAAAGAAAAAAAACTTTTTTCTCCACTCACAAAACTGCAATATTTTTTCAGGGGAAATGTATGTCCAAATATAATTTCAAATTTCAAATACAAATTTTCAACTTAACTCAAAATATTACTTTTTTTTCAAAAATTATAATTTTTATGCACAAACACATACGTAAACATTACAAAAAGATGAGCCAATTTTTTTTAGAAAAAATAAGAAATGCAAAAGTGTGGTCTAACGATTAAGGAAGCGAATAAAAATTATGAAAAATCAACGCAGACCAAAAACATTTTTAGTACACTCAACATGTCCAAATGATTTTTATTTATTTTACAAGAAAAGAGAGATTATATAGGAATCTAAGGGGGTGTACTGTAGTAATTCAGAATAATGAAAATAATGTCATGTAAGAGCAAAACATGGCTTATAATTCCACTCATTATTTAACCTTTGTCCAGTTCATCTCTGTCGGCTTTTTCTCTACTCCTGCTCTCAACGCAAACTCTATTTTTGACACTAACATACGTATCATATAACAGACGCATTACACTATAAATTTATTTGCCTTTATTTCATTAACAATACTTAATTATATTATAATCTTGCATATAGAATAGTATAAAAATGTTATTGTAGTGCATATACAGTAGGAAATATAAAGCAGCTCCGTTGTTATTGGCGTCTGATTTTCCGGCGAGTTCTCTGATTCTTGGGGTAGCGTGTAACTTATTGACCAAACCTGTTGTCTCTACTTTATTCTCTCTTCCTTTCCATTTTTGGATATATATTTTTTGCATTCTTGATTTTCCGGCGAGTCTTTGCTTGGTGGTTTTAGTTTCAGTCACTTCCTCTACCGGCTGAAGTGGTAATCAGTAATCACTGAATTCAGAGATAAAATTATCTTTTTTGGGTACAGTGTAAGTTGAAAAGAGGCAGTTTTTTTGTGGGGTGTAGTTTGATTCCGGCAACCGGTAAATGCTGATGTATTCATGACAATGGAAAAGGAAGAATATTTGCATTTTAGGAAATTCTGCTGGTTTTGGATATTATAAAATATTCTGTTGCAATTATGGAGCTAGCATAATCGTGGAATTATAAGCTCTTTGCAGCTGGAAGTTTGTGTTAGAGGAATTTTTTTTTTTTTTGAGAAGTGGGAAAGATAAATAAATTGTGAAGAAATTCAAGTGGAAATTTTTGGTGAAATGAAGGCACCATCAAACGGATATATTGCAAATTCAGGAGAAGGTGTTTACTATAGCTTAATTGATTCTTTTGCATTTCTATCTTCTGCCTTGTTATTTATTTTATTCAATCTGTGTCTTAATAAGTGAAATATTCTGTCATAGTTGAGTTTTGATTTGAAGGGGAGTCTTGGAGCAACGGTAAAGTTGTCTCCATGTGAAGGTCACGGGGTTCGAGCCGTGGAAGCAGCCACTAATGCTTGCATTAGGGTAGACTGTCTACCTCAAACACCCCTTGGGTGCGGCTCTTCCCGGACCTTGCGTGAACGCGGGATGCCTTGTATACCGGGCTGCCCTTTAGTTGAGTTTTGATTTGTTAGTTTGATAAGTCCTAACATGGGCATTCACATGAACTAGGTAATTGGTTCTAGTTCAATTTAGAAATGCCTAAACTACTCCTGGAATCTTTGTGTTTACTCCATTTTGGAGGAGAAAGAATACATTTTGATTTTTGTGCACCATTCTCTGTCAATTAAGATTTGAGTAGGTTCTGCTTTGCTTACAAGCCAGTATAAGGAAGGGAAAGAACAGAGTAGAAAACATGGTTATCACTGAGAATAGGAACGAAATTAATACTGCAGAGTTTGTTTGACATTCTGTGTTCATGAATGCTTTAATAGGATCCACTTGCCATAAGTTCATATTGTCACATGTTTTTCTTTGATAAAGGAAACTGAAAAAGTTGTTCTATTCATGGATTATCAGATCAAGAAACTATAGCTTCTTTATAATCATCGATCCTTGCGTGTCATTTAGGGTCACACAATGTTGGTTAGTTTATAATCATCGATCCTTAACTCACCAGTGTTGGTTAGTTTTTTATTGCCATTTGGTATACAACCGTTAGAGGGTCACACAATGTTCACTTAGTTTCCTGGTATTGCTGAATCTTTATAAATATTTGGCTTGCGGAACTCCTAATCGTCATAATTATTTCACTATAATAATCCTTCAGTTTGGGGTAACAGAAGGAGAAACAGAAGAACATTTCCTCTTTTTGGTTGCATGAATGATAGCATAATTTCATGCACAAAGGAGCCTAGTTTCTAGCACATCGAAGCTTCATATGTATGTTTGTCTAAAGTTTAACTTTAATTTAGTAAATATGCATCCCTGAATTTTTTTATCATACTGCAACAGGAGATAGAAAGGTCATGAATTCAGAGTTATGGCACGCTTGTGCTGGCCCTTTGGTTTCTTTGCCTCCTATTGGAAGCCTTGTGGTATATTTTCCTCAAGGTCACAGTGAGCAAGTGTGTTTCTTTTGAAGTTGAATCGGAGTATTATTTCCCTAGATATTGTCCGATGATGAAAGCTTACTCGATATTAACACCATGCAGGTGGCGGCATCAATGCAAAAGGAGACAGATGGAATACCAAGTTATCCTAATCTTCCTTCCAAGTTGATCTGCATGTTACACAATGTCACTTTACATGTACGGCATCTTCCTCAATCCACACATTGGCTAGGAATCCACAATTTCATGAATTGTTTTTCCATTTTCCACATATTTTGCTTACAATTAATGATTCGATATGGGGGTCTTCCCGTACCTTCATTGTATTCCTTGTATTTAAAAAGAAGTAAATGGAAACTCAGGATCACTATACTTTTGTAAGTTTTGTCAGTGTTTGTTTGAATCCACAATCTCAAATTGATGTTGCATGTGAATTAAGTAGAAAAATATAGTTCTATTAAGGCTAATCAAAGAGTGGTGGAATTTTCCTTATCCTAACGTGGTATACTTGTGATGTTATTGTTAGGCTGACCCTGAAACTGATGAGGTTTATGCTCAGATGACACTTCAACCTGTAAACAAAGTAAGTCCTTTATGCTGTTTGCAATATCAGCTGTCTGTCTTTCTGGGGAAAGTACTTTTTACCTCCTCTTTAAGAAGTTGAACGAAACGTAATTTTGCTGCTTCTTTTTTTTTTTCCTGCAGTATGACCAGGAGGCTTTACTTTTATCGGATATGGGCCTTAAGCAGAACAGGCAGCCTGCCGAGTTCTTCTGTAAAACTCTCACAGCTAGTGATACTAGTACCCATGGTGGATTTTCTGTTCCTCGTCGAGCAGCCGAGAAGATATTTCCTCCCCTGGTTTGTTTATCTTCACAAAGTGTCTTCAAGAAAAAGAGATCCGCTTTTATGCATCTGACAGACAGCTTCTTTATAGGATTTTTCAATGCAACCTCCTGCTCAGGAACTAATGGCTAGAGATTTGCATGACCAAGCTTGGACATTTAGGCATATCTATCGAGGTACTTTTTAAGATCTTTTACTTTCTTATGTTGGAAGCTTAATTTTAATAATTCTATGTAGAACTACTAATGAGGTATTACACTTTTGAATTGCTAAACTAGTAGTATTTAAGGTTTTTCTTCAAAGGATACAGTTCCGTTTTGGAGTGCTTGATTAAGTGATTCGAATGATTATCCTGATAATATCTACATTAGCGATGTTTGTCTTTAAATCCAACTCAACTTAAGAAAAAAGTGAATCCAATAAGTGCTCGTTGACATTAATTTGCATGATTTCAGGTCAACCAAAAAGACACCTTTTGACTACTGGTTGGAGTGTCTTTATCTCCTCTAAAAGGCTATGTGCAGGCGATTCTGTCCTTTTCATAAGGTAACAGTGAAAATTAGTATAGTACTTTTTATATCTGATAGTCATCTTGTTTCTAAACTGAGAAAATTTGATGTAGAGATGAAAAGTCACAGCTTCTCTTGGGTATAAAACGAGCAAATAGACAGCAGCCCGCCCTCTCCTCATCTGTTATATCTAGTGACAGCATGCACATTGGGATCCTTGCTGCTGCAGCTCATGCTGCTGCAAACAACAGCCCATTTACTATCTTTTACAATCCGAGGTACTATATCAACGCTTTTGAGATAAAAAATATTACGTGTTTGGATTAAAATGTTGAATTATACACAAATTGTTTATCTTGCTCCTTTTGTTACCTGACAGGGCTAGTCCTTCTGAATTTGTAATTCCTCTGGCCAAGTATAATAAAGCTATGTATGCACAAGTTTCACTAGGCATGCGATTTCGGATGATGTTTGAAACAGAGGAGTCTGGAGTCCGTAGGTACATGGGTACAGTAACTGCTGTTAGTGATCTGGACCCCATACGATGGAAGAACTCTCAGTGGCGTAATCTTCAGGTACTCAGTCATCTACGCTTTGACCCCAAGCATCTGCTTAGAATTTTGTTATTTATAACTTAGTGGTCATAGTAGAGCCCGCCCCGCTTCTTGAAAATATATTTCGAAGTCATACCAAATACAACTACATATACTAGGCAATGTCACTCATTATCAGTTGCTCTTCCTGATTAGGAGTACTTACTTGCACTTTGGTTCATGACTTCATAACGGTAATGACATTTTCTATAAGCAATGTGTTTCCCTTATCCTTGTGTGAGTGTGTGTGTTTTCCTTTTCTAAAAAACCATTTTAACCATTTACAGGTGTTTTCTGGTCACTAGTATCCTGATGCCGTCTTTATTGAACTTTAATTGTGGTTCCAAAGGATTTCTTGATGTTATGCAATAAACTGCATTTGGATTTATCCAGTCCTAAATTATTTCCTTATTTAATTTGTTAGGTGGGATGGGATGAATCAACTGCCGGGGAACGTCCAAGCAGAGTTTCAATTTGGGATATTGAGCCTGTTGTGACTCCTTTTTATATCTGTCCACCTCCATTTTTCAGGCCCAAGTTCCCTAAACAGCCAAGTTTTCCTGGTAAGCTACTTGACATTTAGCTCTCTTGTAATGTTTCAAAGGTTTAAGAAAAAAACTTGAACAAAGAGCCTATTTGAAGGTTCACTGTAGTTAAAACTTGACTTTGACTTGCAGGAAATATTGCAGTTTCCATTCAGTAATATTTCTGATTAAATATGGCTGGAAATAGGTCTAACTATTAGTACATAAAGTATCGAGGATGTTTATCAACTTAATCTCCCTCATCTCGACTTCCACAAGAAGGAAATTAGTCTACTGTAACTTCCTCGATATAATCCTCAAAGGGGTAGTGCTTTTGCAGGTGATGAATCTGATATTGAAAATGCATTAAAGAGGGGGATGCCTTGGATCAGCGATGAGTTCGGTCTAAAAGATGCTCCAAGTTCAATATTCCCTGGACTAAGCTTGGTACAATGGATGAGTATGCAACAGAACAATCATAATCCTGTTGCCCAATCCGGACTTCCCAATGTCTTACACAGTAATATTGGCACGGATGACCATTCTAAGTTGTTGAGCTTTCAGTCACCTACACCAGGTCTCCAGTTCAACAAACCAAACCAACTTAATCAGCAATTAGGTCAAATCCAGCAGCCACCATTAGCATGGCCCCAACAACAGCAGCAATCATTACAGTCTCCCGCGAGTGCACAGCAGCACACGCTGCACCAGCAGCAACAGCAACACTCGCTGCAGCAGCAGCCACAACCACAACCACAACCACAGCTTCTCCAGCAAGCACAGCAGCAACTGCATCAACAACAACGTGGACCCCAGCAGCAACAGTTAACCGTGAATTCGCCACCAGTAAATCATTGTGTATCCCCTAACCAGCTACCAAACCAAAGTTTTCCACAAGCTTCGATATATGCTCAGCTTCAGCAGCAACAGTTACTATCAGTCAGTAACCAATCACAGCTAAATGTTCCAAACAATAGAAATCCATTTCCTTCAACATCCTTGGCACAAGACTTTCCCTTTCAGCAACAAGCGACCCAGCAGTCTAACCTCTTGCAAAAATCCCAGCAGCAGCAGCAGCAGCAGACAATACTGCAGCAAGCTCCACTACAATTGTTGCAACAGAGTTTGATGCAGAGGCCACAAGTACAGACATCGTCACAGCAGAGCCTTACGGAGCAGCAGCTTCAACTACAGCTTCTTAATAAACTGCAGCAGCAACAACAGCAACAGCAGCAACAAGCACAGCAATTATCTCATGTAAATTCTACTCTAGAGCCACGTATGCCCCAGCAACAACAGAACCGGCAACCACAAGATCTCCAGTTTGGTCATCAGCAATTGAGTTCCAACATCATGACCACAGCCACACATCTACAGTCACCTCAACATGCTTTCAACCAACTCCAAGGCCAGAACAAATCCCCTATAACAATCAAAGCCTTTTCTGGTGCTACAGATGGAGATGCTCCTTCATGTTCAACCTCTCCTTCTACAAATAATTTTCAAGTTTCACCACCAAACTTCTTGACCAGGAACCAAGGGCAAGCCATACTGGTGGATGAGTCGGTAGTTGATCCTTCACAAGAGCAAAACAAATCCGAATTTCGAATGAAACACGAGCTACCCTTCTCAAAAAGTTCGGAGCAGTCTAAAAACAAAGGTAATGGTACTGAGAACTTAGAGGCAGCCTCATCGACAACATCATACGGGTTGGATTCTAGTGGCTTCAACTTTTCATTGCCTGCATTATGTGCTGAAGGTGATGTTCAATCACATTCTAGGAACAGTCTTCCTTCTGCAGCAAATATAGATGGATTGACCCCGGATGCTTTGCTGTCAAGGGATTATGATTCCCGAAAGGATATGCAAAACCTGTTCTCTGCTTTTGGAAATACCCCTAGGGACATAGAAACTGAATTGTCTGCTGCCGGGATCAGTTCTCAACAATTTGGTGTGCCAAACATGTCATACAAGCCAAGATGTTCCAATGATCTCGCTGTTAATGACAATGGTGTTCTGAATAATAATTCATGGACGAATCAGACTCAGCGCATGAGAACATATACTAAGGTCTGCTGCACGCATGCTTCACTCTCTTTTTACCACTGTTTACGCGTTCTCTTTTTTCAAGTTTCATATGATGGTGTAGTAGTGTTATGTCTCATTCCTGTCATGTATGTTTTTAATATTGTTTTGCGATCATGAAGGTTCAAAAACGAGGCTCTGTGGGAAGAACAATAGATGTCACTCGTTACAAAGGCTATGAGGAACTAAGGCATGATCTAGCACGTATGTTCAGAATTGAGGGACAGCTTGAAGATCCTCAAAGAACTGAATGGAAGCTTGTGTATGTAGACAATGAGAATGATATACTGCTTGTTGGTGACGATCCTTGGGAGTAAGTGTTGACTTCTAGAAAGTTGTATTATGATTCTTGAAGTATTACTTTTCCAAGATATTCATGTTTTGCTCATTTTTCTCAGGGAATTCGTGAGCTGTGTTCAGAGCGTCAAAATCTTGTCTTCTGCTGAAGTGCAGCAAATGAGTTTGGATGGGGATTTAGGTAATGTGCCAGTACCAAACCAAGCTAGCAGTGGCACTGACAGTGGTAATGCATGGAGGGGACACTACGATGACAACTCTGCTGCATCATTTAATCGATGAAGGCGTTCCCATTTCATGAACCAACTTTGCAATACATTTTCAACACGATTCCCTTGAAGCTGCTAGCAATTCAGATCACCAGAATGCAGCAACTCCTGTCATGTTTTTTATTCGTGACGTGAATACACATACCCTTCCGAGATCTGGCAGTCCGTGCATGTCTTCGTGGCACAGTTGATGTTGGATTAGTACCTTTACTACTTTGTGGAGTGTTTTAATCAGATTTACTGAGATCAGGATCTGTATCTTTATTCTTATTCGAAGGTCCAAAAATCTGTTAGTGAGTTTAGGAGAGCAGGTTTCCAATGTTGAATTATTTTTTTCTAGATCAGGTTGATGTAAATTAGCCTAGTAATTTAGGCTTGGAAAAACTACAGGAAGAAAGATTCCTGTTGTACCAAATTTAACAGAAAGTGTATAGCTTTGACGGATGTGGAAAACAGTATCTAAATGATATTAGAGCACTTCGAGTTTTTATGCTCTCCTGAAATATCTAGTAGGTCAATTATAATTTTATACAGGGATTAGTCCAAATCTGTTAAAAGTTTGTTTAAAACATGACATTGTTGTTATTAAACATACAACAACAAGAAGCCCAGTAATCCATCAGAAAAAATTCAGTTCCAATTCATAATCTGCAGTTTTCAATCACTTTTAACATACAAACATACCCATAAGGGTAAAAATTCCTCAAATCAAAAAAGGTAATGCGTTCAGAAAATTGATTCTACACTTGACATTAATCATTAATTTGCAGTGTTTGCCGAAATGTGAATGCAGCTTTCTCTTCCTAACCTTAAAATTTTTGGCACAGAATAATTAACTCGATATCCAACTAAGATAGCACAGCCATTACATCAGACGCTCTGAGTGTAATGTAGTCGGAACCATCAGCGCCTTTGAATTCACTACCCGCGTATTTGGAGTAGAGAACTGTATTACCAGGGGATACTGATAGTGGTTTCCTGTTTCCTTCCTCATCAAGAGGACCAGGCCCAACAGCTATAACCTGTAATTTCAAACATAGAATAAGGTTTAGAACATCTCACAACCAATATAGGGAGCATAGATTAGGGATGCAGATCAGAGGCAATATTGATTATTGACTGCCAGTCAATCTTCTATCTCTTACCGCGCCAATTGAAGGCTTTTCCTTAGCTGCCTCAGTCAACAGTAAGCCTCCTGCGGTTTTTTCTTCAGCCTCGGCAACCTGACAGCAAATGCAACCACCAAGTAACGCTCCTTCAGTCAATTAAAGTCGGGTAAACCAAAGGAAAATTAAAGCAGAAACAGATAACCAGCTGACTATGAAACATCAGATATCTTGCATACAAGGAAGGAATGAATGATAAGATTGACAAACCTTGATTAGGACTCTATCATTTAAAGGCTGCAAATCCTTGATATCATCTGTCTCAAGAACACCAACAATATCATCCTCTTTCAGAATGAGGTGCTTTGATCCATCGAACTCCACCTCTGTTCCAGCATACTTTGAGTAGACAACTTGGGCACCCGTCTATACACGATAGATCTTTTCAGTCAACTAGATTTCCATGGATTTATCCGAGCTTGATTATTATTATCTGAATATAATATTACCTTCACGCTAATGTCCACTTTAGTCTTGCTAGCTGAACGACCCTCCCCAACAGCAACCACCTCACCTCCTTGAGGTTTTGACTGGGCTGCTACTGGAAGTAGGATACCACCTACAGTCTTCTCCTCTGCGGTCTTAATCTTTACCAATACTCTATCGCCCAATGGCTTAAGCGTAGTGTACTGCAACAACAACAAGAAGAAAATAAATATTTAGAGCATGCATGAAATTTTCCTGCGAGAATTGGAATAATTTTATTGCATGACCAGTTAGTAGAGACAAATCACCATATTTACAAACCAAACATCAGAACTCAACAAATAGTTCTAACTAAGAAAACAAGTAAATATCCTTTTTCTCGGGAGGGATGTCTCTTTAACATGTATAAAAGCAAAATATGATAGTGTAAGGTTACCCACAAGGGAAGGGGAGTCGCAATGATAAAGTTGGCTCCGTATGACCTATAGGTGACGGGTTCGAGCCGTGGAATCAGCCACTCATGCATAGGCTGCCTACATCACACCCCTTGGGGTGCAGCCTAGACCCTGCATGAACGCGGATGCTTCATGCACCGAGTTGCCCCTTTAAGGTTACCCACAGGCTAGCCTCATTAGGCCTCAAAATCTATGGCTAGAATCAGCATGGACATAAAAATATATGAAGCCAGGATGTACCAGCTGATAAAACTTAATGCTCGGTGAAGTCATATTTGGATTCCAAAAACACACTTGACTGAAGTCTTAACAGTTATAAATCAAGAAACATCAGAACCAGAACTAGCAACTATAACACTATTGTTTCCTCAAATGTGCCAAGGAAACCATATTTTCTCAGCAAGCCCAAGTCACAAACTTACAACACAATTGAAGCCACAAAACAGAATGAAAAGGTCAATTACCCAATCCAACAAAAAGACAATACTTATCCGATCCATAACCATTTCTAGTTGAAGTTATTTGCTTCAGCTAACTCTTGCAAAATACTGAACCAAGACCTGATCTTTCTTTTAAAGAAACAAAAATTAGCTAACCAACCCCTGATAATTGCACTGAATTAATCATGAACAAGAAAACCAATGTTCATATTGCACGCGACAACGTTCACTAACACAATACGGGAAGCAGCGTAAATACCAAAGAAACCAAATCTCACTTATCCGATCCATTTCTAGTTGAAGTAATTTGTTTCAGCTAACTCTTGCAAAATACTGAACCAAGACTTGATCTTTCTTTTAAAGAAACAAAAATTAGCTAACCAACACCTGATAATCGCACTAAATTAATCATGAACAAGAAAACCAATGTTCATATTGCACGCGACAACGTTCATTAACACAATACGGGAAGCAGCGTAAATACCAAAGAAACCAAATCTCCCTAGTCATTCAACTACCCCAGTTAAAACAAAATGATAGAACTGAAACAAATAAAAGAAAAAGAAATAATGCACCTTAGGAGCTACAGTGGTGGCAGCCTTAACAACAAGACTACGAAAAGACCTGCTATTCTGCTTCGATGGGGCAAAAGATGCAACCTTTACACTACCAGTTGACCTAAGCCCTTCAAAGGATACAAAACCCTTTGCACAAATGGATGATGCTGTTAGCTGAGTAGTCGCCATTTGTTCCTACACTCAATCAGATTAAACCCCAAAAAGATTAAAATGGTTATTATCCTCAAAACTCAAAATTAAAAGAGGAAAATTAACGTTAAAAATAATATATTTTGAGCAATGATAATAAAAACAGTACCTGAATTAGAAGTCAAAAAGAAGGTTTTTTTTTCTTCTCAACTGAGGGTAGTGAGAGTGTGTGGTTAGGTTGTTGAAAAAATATAGAGTAGTTTGGTAAGAAGAGGATAACAAAACCCTAGAAGGTTCAATAGAAAGACTTTGGCAGGGGGTTTTTCTGCAAAAGATAAGATGTTTCTAGAATTTTTCTTTCTTTTGTTTGTTTGTTTGTTCGTTGGAACACATTACGCTCTTCGATTGGGCTCGGGTTAGACCCTTCGATATGGACCAGTCTGACAATTTTTTCAACCTCTCAAGTATGGATGAAGCCCAATTAGTTCTTCGGGCCCGAACCAAGGATTTATCGGAAACATCTCCTCTCTATATATATCTCGGATAGGGATAAAATTTGTGTACACGCTATCCTCTCAAAACGTTACTTGTGAAATTCTACTGGATGTTTTTGTTGTTATTGTTGTTGTCAATCAAGGTTCCACTACTATAAATAATGTTGGATAGACCTTTTCAAAACCATTTTTAATATTTTGATCCTATTAAAAAAATTGAGAAAATAGCTTCGCATTACAATTTTAAAGCGCGCTCGCCCAAAGTTTTGAACCTCGCCAAAATTTTAAAGTATTACAAATTCTGATGATCACCAACATTTTAAGCGCTAGAATTTTGAAGCACCAGAAAATTTGTTCGTCCTATTTTCAGTCATAATTTTAAAAATTTCTGGTGATCCGTCAGAGTTTGTAGCAAAATCCTTAAGATCAGCATAATTGTTGAATTTTTTTGCTTAGCGTGCTTTAGAATTCCCGTGATCACGACGTATTTTAAAAAATTAGAAAAAAATAATATGGCTTTGATCTAGTGGTAAGAGCGCAACGCATTATGTGTGGGTTAGACATATGTCATGGTATCGAACTCTCCCATATTCAAATATATGGGTATTAAGTGGAAGGATAGAGGGGCAAGCCCATTATTTATCGAGTTTTGAACTTTGTGATACTTGCTTCGGAGATTTCTTAGTTAAAAACGACGAGACACAAAAAAAAACTTACTTTCTGGTGTATAGATCAATCACATGTGACAAAAAAAAACTAATTTAGAGAATATGAGTTGAAAATAGAAAATAAAATCGTGAGAAAATAAAAAAAGATTATACATAAAGAGAGAAAAATAAAATTGATGAGAAAGTAAATAAATTTGTTTAATTTAATAAGAGGAAAAATATATCATATTAACTCACTCAATTCTAACTTTACCAAATTTAAAAGAATTTTAAAAAATTATTTTTTTATTAATAATTATATAAATATAGATTATACAATAATGTATTAATAGCCTTAAATATTTGGGGTTTAAGACCCTTACCCTAGAGCCGCCCTTGTTCGTTAAGTTATGTTCTGCAGTTGAGTTATAAAGGGCAATCGCACTCATCGTCATAAATTAGGGTTACGAGTGAGAAAAGATGCAGCATGATGAGGTCATATGGCAAGTTATCAGACACAAGCATTGCAGTTTCATGGCGAAGTCAGATTTTTGTTCTTAATTTGATTCTCACTTCATATACTATTTGTTTGACATATGGTCTTTATTTGATTTATTTTTTCTTCTTTTTTGCAATATTGACAGAATTGAGACAGGGATATTTTGCCGAAATCCATATAATGTAACTGGGATTTGCAACCGGAGCTCATGTCCTCTGGCTAATAGTCGGTACGCCACCATTCGGGATCATGATGGTATTTATGCACAGCTTATTTCTTGTCATTTTTGAAATGATATAAAAGAGGCTATTGTTTTTTTTTTTTTTTGCTTCATTTTAAAAAAAATAAGGAAATGGTTGTAATTTCGCTTTGGTTTTCTTAATATCTTGTTATTGTTACTACTTGTTGCCAATGCTTCTTTTCATCTACTCTCGGAAGCAGCCTCTTTGCCCTCCCAGGACAAGGTCTGCGATCCCAGGTTTGTTGTTGTAAGGAAATGGTTGTAATCGCGATCCCAGGGCATACAAGATGTATGAATTAATGGTTTGGCTGGCTGCTATTGGAAAATTGTTCTATTTATGATCATTAATGAATAACTTGGCTGCAATGGAAAAAGGGAATTTTACCTATTGGTTTGTGTTACTTTTACCCTTCCATTCCT